TCGGCGAACTGCCCGACCCGACCCGCCCCCTAGGGTCCGCCCGCCCGACCCGACCCGCCCGTTAGGGTTAGCACGTCCCACACTTTAAAATCCCGCCCGCCCGACCCGACCCGCCCGTTCGGGCCCGCCCGCCCGACCCGACCCGACCCGCCCGCTAGGGTCCGCCCGCCCGGCCCGATCCGTCCGTTAGGGTTCGCCCGTGTTCGGTCGAGCGCTTCCCACACTTTGATGTCCCGCCCGCCCGACCCGACCCGCCCGTTAGGGTCCGCCCGCCCGACCCGACCCGACCCGTCTGCTAGGGTCCGCCCGCCCGACCCGACCCGCCCGTTAGGGTTCGCCCGTGTTCGGTCGAGCGCGCCCCGCAGCCCGCCCGACCCGACCCGCCCGTCAGGGTCCACCCGACCCGACCCGACCCGCTAGAGGGTCCGCCCGCCCGACCCGACCCGCCCGTTTGGGTTCGCGCGTGCTCGGCCGAGCGCGCCTCACACGTTCCTGTCCCCCCCCCCACCCGACCCGACCCGACCCGTTCGGGTCCCCCGCCCGACCCGACCCGACCCGCCCGCTAGGGTCCGCGCGCCCGACCCAACCCGCCCGTCAGGGTTCGCGCGTGCTCGGTCGAGCGCGCCCCACAACGACGGGCGAAACCAGCGCTGGCGAAACCAGCGCCGACGAAACCAGCCGCCGGCGAAACCAGCGGGGCGAAACCAGCGGGACGAAACCAGCGCCAGCGAAACCAGCGCCGGCGAAACCAGCCGTCGGCGAAACCAGCGGGGCGAAACCAGCGCAGGCGAAACCAGCGCCGGTGAAACCAGCTCATGCCACTAAGGGGCACTACATGGCCCCTTTGGGGCCTTTTTCTTCACCCCCTATCTGGGTCAACCCCCACTGCAGTAGGGGCACGACCACAAGAAACCTTCCACAAGAAACCCGACCCTGAGACCCCAGGACGTCCATTGACTTTTGGTGTGGGAGCACCGCGCCTTCCACAGCAAAACCATCGAAGCCCAAGACATTCCGGGCACCCTGGAGGCGAGCAGGGTACTTTTTGGCATGGGCTTCCCCCGCACTCCGAAACCTCCGGGTCCTCCTAAGAAGACCCCTGCCTGCCGAGACGCTCCCCGCCCTCTTTAGGAATGAGGTCGGGCATGTCCCCCCACAGGCGGATTGTGGAAGAAAAGTGTGAAGCAGAATTTAAAGCATGTCCAGCAATAGTCAAACAATCATCGAAACATCGTCCCTGTGATATCTTCCACGATCCTGTGGTGCTGGGTTCTCGTTTTGCAAAGACGGTCTCCGCATTCCTTCCTCCTCCTTCGTACCCTCCCTCCTCCCTCCTCCCGTCAACCGCCGCATGCGTCAACCACCACCGAGCACAACCCTCCCCCCCTGCGTTTCGCCCACCCGGGGCAGCGCGTCGTGGCCCCATAGGGAGCTCCACCGACGGTCCCAGGGGGAACGCCCGCGTGCGTCAACCACCACCCAGCACAGCCCTTCCTCCCTGCGTTTTACCCACCCAACACAGCGTTTCGTGGCCCCATAGGGAGCTCCACCGAAGGTCCTAGTGCGACCGCCCGCATGCGTGAACCACCACGCAGCACAGCCTTTCCTCCCTCGTTCCACCCACCCAGCACAGCGTTTCGTGGCCGCATAGGGAGCTCTACCGAAGGTCCCAGTCGGACCGCCCGCATGCACCCAGCACAGCGTTTCGTGGCCCCATAAAGGGGGCTCCACCGAAGGTCCCAGTGGCACCGCCCGCATGCGTCAGCCATCACCCAGTACAGCGCTTCGTGGTCCCATCGGGACCTTCATCGAAAGTCTTAGTGGGACCACCCGCATGCGTCAGCCACCACCCAGTACAGAGTTTCGTGGCCCCATAGGGAACTTCACCGATAGTCCCAGTGGGACCGCACGAATGCGTCAGCCACCATCAAGTACAGCGTTTCGTGGCCCCATAGGGAGCTCCATAGACAAACCCGAGTGGCACCGCTCGCGTGCGTCGTCCACCACCCAGTGTCCCATGTCGCGTTCCCATTGAATGGGAGCTCCACCAAGCCCCAGTGGCACCGGTCGCATGCGTCCCCCCCGCCCGGTACAGCGTTTCGTGGCCCCGTAGGGAGCTCCAGTGATCCGCCCGCGACCCCCCCCACCCACTGCAACGTTTCGTGGGCCCACAGGGAGCTCGAACCCCGCGTGCGTCGGTCACTACCCAGTACAGCGTTTCGTGGCCCCGTAGGGAGCTCCACAGAAAGACACTAGTGGCACCGCCCGCGTGCTTCTCCACCAAGCAGTACAGCGTTCCGTGACCTCATCGGGAGCTCCAAGAAGGGCACCGCCCGATTGCGTCCGCCACGCCCAGTACAGCGTCTCGTGGCCCATAGGGAGCCCCACCGAAGGCCCCAGTGGCAACGCCCGCATGCGTCTCCCCCACCCGTTACGGCACGCCCCTCACGCGTTCCGTGGCCCTCTAGGAAGCTCCACCGACAGCGGCACGCACAACGCGTTACCCACAAGTGCATACGGTTGGGTCCTTCGCCAGGATATGTTTTGACTGTTTTGGGATACTTCTCCTGTAGAGGGACATGCCCGACTTCACTTCACAAGGCCGCCCCCCTCGCGCCCCGCCCTTGTCTCGTCGTAGGCCCATGGCCGGAGGCCTCCCAAGAGGTATCCGAGTACAGTCGGCCCGTAGCATAAGGATGCGCGGTAAGGATGCGAGGGCCTTGGAGGGCCATGTTGCCCATCGGTCGGCAGAAGTAGGTAGGAGCATCAAGTAGGAAGGCGTTGGAAGTATATTGGGTCTCCGCCCGCCCCCTGAAGAGGAGGGAAAAGGTGAAGCCAATCAACCATTGAAGTAGGAAGGCGCGTAAACTAGATTGGTATCTGGGAATCCAAATAATACCTACTTTCAACGACCACTGGGTAGCGCTTTCCGAACGAGGTTGGCAAGCGAAAGTCGCTGAGGATCGGCCGGAGGGGCAAGGATGCAAGTGTACCCTTGGGAAGGCTGCCCATCCTTGCTGTGCGGGTTGACTTCAGCTGGGGTCGAAACATCGCGCCGCATCGCCAATGTATTGCTGATGCATCGGCGAATGCTTCGGAGAAGTCGGCGGTGCAGCGTCGCCGTCGGCGTGGCGACCATCGGGGCCCACATCGAACCGCATCGGCGATGCGGCGCGAATCTCCGACCCCGTTTCGGAGGCCTGGAAGGCGACGGCCTTCGTCGTCGAACTTTGAGCTCATGAGGCGCGCCAAGGCTTCCGATGACTGCCGTGGTTCCCCCCTCCTCCTCCTCCTCCTCCTCTTCCTCCTCCTCCCCTTCCTCCTCCTCCTCCTCCTCCTCCTCCTCCTCCTCCTCCTCCTCCTCCTGCGCGGTCGTGCCCCCGTGGGTGGGGCACCTGCTGGCGGCCCAGTTTCTGTGTCGACGCGCCCGCTGTGAGATGAGGCGAGAAGGATGCACGGTTTCCCCCGGGGCCGTAGGCGACCCGAGGAGGAGGAGGAGGAGGAGGAGGAGGAGGAGGAGGAGGAGGAGGAGGAGGAGGAGGGCGAGGGGGAGGAGGAGATGGAAGAGGAGGAGGAGGAGGAGGAGGAGGAGGAGGAGGAGGAGGAGGAGGAGGAGGAGGAGGAGGAGGAGGAGGAGGAGGAGGAGGAGGAGGAGGAGAGGGAGGAGGAGAGGGAGGAGGAGGACGGGTCGCCTAAGCCCTTCGGAGAAACCCTCCAGAGAAGGAATGGGATGCTGAGGGACACCGACTCTGCGCTCGCCGTCGTGCCCCGTGAATCCAGCTCCGCACCGCGTCGCTACGCCAACGGGCGGAGAAATGACAGACGCCATTGCTGCGTGCCCCCTCGAACACGGAAACTGAACGACTCCGACGATCACCGACTTCCGTGTGCTGCTGATCTGGGGAGCGGAGCGCTGTCTTCAGTGTTGTACTTGGTGAGGACCAATTCCGACTCCGCCTGCAATAACCCGTTAAAAGACCAGCATCTCGTCGAGCAATACCAAAATATGTCGAAACTTGTCACCTCCCGCACACGCCTTGATTCCAACGATGTAGCTGCCAATATCGGGCTCCACCTGCACACCCCGCATCTCGCTGAGCTGAGACAACACATGTGGCCATCGCCCAGCTCTCTCGCATGCAGTGAGTCCAGCGTGGTATGTGACTCGGGGAAAAAAGGGTAGGTCATCTAAATATGAGTGACAGCTGTCCGGAGGTGCAACTCGGAAGGTGCTCGAGAAAGTGACACCTTACAGAGAGACGCACTACATTGTCGAATGCTTCCAAATCGACGGGCCCGCATGATTCTTCAGTCGACGACGGACTTGTACATGATAGCCCGTGCTCAGATCATACTACGCTGTTGTAACCAAGCGGGGCTGTGGCGAACACATCCTGGAAGCTGAATCAGGGAGTGTCCGCCCCAGTCAGAATGCCGCCGGACTTGGGTCGGAGCAGATGGTGTCTAAGGGTCGCACTGCATCGCCGACGCACCTGCGATGAATCGGCGTCTTCGGCATGGAGAACAAGGTTCCTCGGAATGCACCGCATCGGTTATGAATCGACGATGCGGAGCGACCCTCCGACCCCATCAACTCGGACCCAACTTCAACGGCCTGGACATTCACCCCGACAGAAAACGACGGCCATGTCGGAATGTGGCCCTGGCCGAGCTTCCCAACGAACCGCCTCGGGGCTGGGATACGCAGCACTTTTTCTTGAGACTCCAGCAAGTTTACTTTCATGGAGGGGGAGGGGTGGGGGCGGGGGGCGATGCCCGAAAAGAAGCCAGGACTTCACACAAATGTCGGGACACGCGAAACCTTCACGCTTTTTTTGGCCCAGCGCTGTTGGAGAAGGCGGCGGAGGGGGAGGGAGAGATGCCGTGCGAGTGAATTTGACTACGTAAATCTGTCATGGAACACCCTACAATCGACGCTGTCGAATGGGACAGGGAAGCCCGTGCACTGGCGAAAGGGGGCGTGGCGTGGGCCACGCCGCGCGTCAGACAGCATGATACAGCCACGGCCAGGCCTCAGGGCCCCCTTGCCGCGTGCGACTGGCTGCCCTCTGCGAAACGAGCCCACCAAACCTTCTTCGAGCGTGAGCGGCTCAGGGAGTTCCCTCTTCCGACGCGCTTGATTCCCTCTGGGGAAATGTTTACCCTCTCCCCACCCCTTTCGGCGGAAAGGGCCTTCGGCCAGGCCCGAAGGGCCTCGAGCGCCGGAGGAGCGAGAGGAGGGGGAGGAGGAGGAGGAAAGGAGGAGGAGGAGGAGGAGGAGGAGGAGGAAAATGAGGAGGAGGAGGATGAGGAGGAGGAGGAGGAGTGAGACGAGGAGGAGAAGGAAAAGGGGAGGAGGAGGAGGAGAAGAAAAGGAGGAGGAACATGAGGAGGAGGAGGAGGAGGAGAAGGAGGAGGAGGAGGAAAATGATGAGATGATGTGCTGCTGATGATGATGATGATGATGATGATGATGATGATGATGATGATGTGATGATGATGATGAGATGAGGATGAGGATGAGGATGAGGATGAGGAGGAGAGGAGGAGGAGGAGGAGGAGGAGGAGGAGGAGGGGGAGGAGGAGGAGGAGGAGGAGGAGGAGGAGGAGGAGGAGGGAGGAGGGAGGAGGAAGCAGAGGAGGAGGGAGGAGGAGGAGGAGGAGGAGGAGGAGGAGGAGGTGGAGGAGGAGAGGAGGAGGAGGAGGAGGAGAGGAGGAGGAGGAGGAGGGAGGAGGGAGGAGGACGACGAGCCAGGAAGCAGGGGAAAAGCGCGACCAGCAGGCACGACCGTGCAGGAGGCGAGGGGAGGACAGCAGAAGCAGCAGAGGGCGAGCGCGCGCGCGACGGGGGCGGGCGGGGGGGCGGGAAGGAGGCGAGGGTCGTCGCGGGGTTCGGCGGGGCGTGTCGTGACGCCCTGGAGCGTCCAAGATGGCCTCGGAGAGAGGGCGCGCGGGGGTGGAGCCCCGTCCCCCGGGGCCGCCAGATGCCGCAAGGGGGCGGGGAGGGGTAGGAGGGGGGGGGGTCAGAGGAGGATGGCGAGGAGGAGGATGGCGAGGAGGAGGAGGAGGAGGAAGGGAAAGAGGGAGGAGGAGGAGGAGGAGGAGGAGGAGGAGGAGGAGGAGGAGAGGAGGAGGGAGGGAGGAGGAGGAGGAGGAGGAGGAGTGACGCGTTGGAGCGTCCAAGATGTCCAATGATTTGACAAAGGTTTTGGTCACATTTTGGCCTCCCGGGGGGACAGCGCTAAGCAGGGATGGCCCCGAGTTGGCCTCCGAGGCTCCCAAGGGTGCCCCAAGACGGCCCCAAGCGGTGCCCGGGAGGCCGAGAGGCCCCAAGAGCACCCCAAGATTTCCGCAAGAGACCCCCAAGAGGCCTCCCAGAGGCACATAAGAGACCCCAAGAGGCCCCCGGGACTGCCAAGAGACCCCAAAGGCGCCCCAAGAGGACTCCAAGAAGCTCTCGAACGACATCCGAAGAGTCCCCGAGAGGCATCCAAGAGGCCTCTGGCCTTTTGCTCACGCTCCTCCTACTCCTCCTACTCCTCCTCCTCCTCATCATCATCATCCTCCTCTTCCTCGTGCGCCTGTTCCTCCTCCTTCCGCCTCCCTCCTCCCCCTCCCCCTCTCTCTACTCCTTCTCCTCCTGCTCCTCCTCCGATTCTTCCTTCATCCTCCCCTCTTGAAATATGACGTCTTACCCAGCCCTTTATTGCACTTCGTACTCCTCCACATCCCTGATCAGGGCAACGCTTCTGGGCATCGTTTCTGACTGGGCTGGTGGGGTTACGCGATGCGTCTAGAATCCCAGAGGAAGCTACGTTAAACGGCAGTTGCAGCGATGTGATCAGACCAGAAAGCTTGGCAGTACGTGAACACCCGCTTGGTTCCCAACATTTTCATGCTATCATAATGCTGGGAGCCAAGTGGGTGTACATGTAGACCCCCTTTAATATTCATCCGCTTGGTTCCCAATATTATGATATCATGCAAGTATTGGAAACCAAGCGGGTGACATCCCCGTTCGGGCGCCCTCGCGACTTTTCTGCCCCCCGCCTCTGTGGTCCCGTCCTGGGCTCCCGGATATTGGGATCCAGGAGGGTGTAGATTTCAGGGAGTCTCAACGTACACCCGCTTGGTTTCCAGCATTCTGATCGCATCGACCACTGGGAACCAGGCGGGCGCCCCCCCCCTCCTCCCTGTGGTCCTCTCCTGGGCCTCCCGAACACTGGAAACCAAGCGGGTGTACCCCCTCAAATGTACACCCGCTTGGTTCCAAATGCTCGAGAGGTCCAGGGCCAAGTTTCCGATACTCGGGCGTGTCCCCCTACAGGCGGATTTTGGACGAACAGTTAAAAGTGGTGAAACAAATACCCCAACATGGCCAACGAATCATAGAAAAACATTGACCCAGGCTATGTTTTCACTAGTTTCGAATATTCCTCGTGCAGAGGGACATGCCCGACTTAAGAGTATTGGGAACCAAGCGGGTGTGCATTTAGACACACTTAAATGTACGCCCGCTTGGCTCTCAATGTTCGGGCTTCAGAAGTTCCTGGCCCTCTCGTGGTTGGTTGTAGGTGAGCGCCCGCCTGGCTTCCAATACTCGCGCAGCCAAGGTAAACAACAATGTGAACCAAGCTGGGGCCCCACCCCCCCGGGGGCCAAAGTCTGGGCCTCCCGAATATTAGCAACCAAACGGGGGTTTGCTGGACCCCCCTAAACGGAAACTCGCTTGGTTCTCCATGTTCGGGAGGCCCAGGGCTTGGGCCCCGGGGGGGGAGGGGGGGACACCAACTTGAACTTGGTTCCCAAGATTCGTTACCTTGGATGTGCGAATCTTGGAGATCAAACGGGCGCTCACCTGCCGTGCTTGGAAACGAATATTGAACCTTTGGTACCGCGATCCGCGATTGCACTGGTCCGAATACGGTCTGGGGGCTGGTCGCAAGACAAACAGAAAGAGGGCAACATGGAATGAGGAACGGCGCCCCTCCTGGACCCTGACCGCAACAATTTCTCCGAAGACGCCCGGGAGGTGAACGAGCAGACATGTACCAAGACCGACACTCCCTGGACATCTCCAAGGGTGCATTCTGACGAGTGTAGTGTTTCGGGGCGGATCCAGCCGCTGCGACGAGGTAAAGGGTATCGACATCGGCATCTTTTCCGCCTCTGAGGGAGAGAGAGAGAGAGAGAGAGAGCCCAAGGAAGGGCCCGAAAAAAACCGAGGCCCCTCCAAGCCCCAAGGTGGCCCACGCTCAAGACACGTTATGGGTGTGCAGCGCGACCCCCGCGGTCCGGTGACTGGGACGCGAGGCTCTCTCGCGTTTGGTCCCTGGACTTCCTCGCGTGGCGTGGCCATGGGCTAGGCTGCGTATGCCCAAACCGCTCCCTTCTCCTCCTTCTCCTGTTCCTCCTCCTCCTCCTCCTCCTCCTCCATCTGCTTCTCCTCTCCTTTGGAGAATGTCTCTATCGGTTGGAGGCTGGTTTGTGGCCAAGAGTACCATAAAGTGGAAAGATCTAGATATCGAAGAACCTCCCTAGCCAAACATCTGGCCAGCCCCTACCAAGCCCAGCCGGAAACCCTTGCCAGTCTTCCCGCCCAACCCTGGTTAGGGTAGCTCTTTTCATGAGATGTTGTACCCAGCGAGGCTACGCAGCAACTCTACAGGGACGTATTCATTGTCGTCACCACGTCGTCGAATACACCGAGAATGGGAACCCCGACTGCTTACCAAATACATTCGGCAGGCCGTGGCGAGGCCTCACAAGGCAATTGCGTCTCGTGCAGAAAACCCCCTACGATCAGAATCGGCCACAGGGGCGAACGCAAGAATGTCCTTCCGAGGAAGGGGATCGGCCCCTCAAGAGCCGTGCGCCGCACACAGTCTCACAGGCAGAGGGCCCTCTTAGGACGCAGTCCCCTCGCCCTGCCCACTGCGCGCCGCCTGCACACCACTCGATCCCGCCGCACTTTGGGGCTGCAAAGCCGGGTGCGCTTATGGGGGGGGGCGTTAGAAGAAGAACCAACGGCACCACCATGTGCTTACATTCGGAGGTCCGCGCGTGATTCTTGGACTGGCGTTTCCACCACGGGGGCACCACACCCTTCGCAACTCCCATCATAAGGGTTGCGGGGGTGGAACCAGATCCCCGGCTGGCACCGTGCCAGCAGTGCTGGGGGCAGCGGCCCGTCTTCCCATCCCATCCTCATAAAGGGGGATACGAACGAAGCCCCTGAATACGGGACGGGGTGGGCACGAGTGGGCATCATAGCCGGCCCAAACTCGAGAGAGGCGTCCTGGCCCCCAGCCTCGTCAGTGACGCCTCTGGTGTTGGCATTCGTGCCACGCGCAGCGAGAGGCTCTCCCCCCCCCCCCCCGGCTAAGGGCGCGCGGAGCGCGCTCCAGGGGGGCCTGGCGCGACCCAAGGAATTCGCGTGGACATCCGAAGGAGTGATTGCAAAAAAACCTAGGATTGCAAAAAACCTAGGGTTTTTTTGCAATCCTTCGTTTTTTTGCAATCCTTCGTTTTTTTGCAATCCTTCGTTTTTTTGCAATCCTTTTTGCAATCCTTCGTTCATGCATGCTCGTCTTCTTCTCCAGGTCGTCCTGACCAGTGGAGGGGCCACCGTGGGGCCCCCTGGGGGGCTTCCTGGGGGGTCGTCCGGGGCCCACTTGGGGCACCGTCGGGGCGTTGACCCAAGGAACCCTAAATCAGGAACGAGGCCCCTTTTCTCCAGAAGTGGAACTTCGACTTCCCTTCGAAAACCTAAGGAACACGTGGGGCAAAGTGTGAAACAATTCAGGAACACGGAGCCCCTCCCCAACGAAAAGGGTTCCTTCTGCAGGGCCCCCCCTGTATGTTTATGCATGCTTGTCTTCTTCTCCAGATCGTCCTGACCAGTGGAGGGGCCACCGTGAGGCCTCCTGGGAGCCTCCTGGGGGTCGTCCAGGGCCCCCTTGGGGTACAACCTGCTCCTCCTCCTCCTCCTCCTCCTCCTCCTCCTCCTGCTCCTCCTCCTGCTCCTGCTCCTCCTCCTGCTTCTCCTCCTCCTCATCCTCCTCCTGCTTCTCCTCCTCCTTCTCCTCCTCCTCCTCTCCTCCTCGGACCTATGACAAACAAACATCCTTCCAGAACTCGAGGCCCTCCGCCGGCCCAAGCGCACAGCACGTCCACGGGTACCCTCCCCAGGGTGCGCAATAAGATCCAACAGGCACGAACAACATCAGGGTACCCTCCAGAACGTCCACAGGTACCCTCCCCAGGGTGCACAATCATATCCAACAGGCACGAACAACATCGGGGTACCCTCCCCGAGCCGACCTCGATCTCAAACCTCGGTCCCACTTTCTTCTGGGGCAGCTCTTGGGGGCCTGCTGGCGGTCTTGAAGGCCCCTCGGGGCCGTCTGAGTAGAGGCCCCCTAGATGGGGTCGGAGTAAATGGGGTCGGACAATCGCGCCGCATCGCCGATCTATCGGCGATGCATCGGCGATGACGTGGGCGACGCAGCGGCGACGTTGATGTGAAGCAAGCCAGGCTCCGCATCGAGCCGCATCGGCGGTGCATCGGCGATGCGGCTCCATCCTCCGACCCCATGAACTCCGACCGCATCTAGGAGGCCTAGACCGATGGCCTCCTGGGGGCCCCCGGAGGCTCGGAAGACCGTCTGCTGCCTGTGTGGGCCGGGAGATGCGGGGGCCCCCGCAGCCCCGAGGCGGCGCGGCGCGCCTCTGCGGGCACCGCGCCATCGCTCAGCAGTCCATCCCCCGTGCAGGTTTCGGGCTCGTGGCCGTATTTCTTCGCACGGTGACCCCTAGATGCTCCTCGATGGCCCTCGCCGCGAGAAGCTGCACACGTCCGAGCGATGCCGAGGCACTGGGGGCCTCCCGGCAGGCCGGCCGCGGCGCGGCGGCCCAGGGGGCTCGGGGGCGGCGCGGAGGCAGGCCCGCCACGGCTGGGAGGGCGGTGTTCCCTGCAGTCAGAGCGTGCGTCAAGGACGGGCGGCAAGGTCGCAGGACCCCGGGAGGCCGAAGTTGGGATTTTTACCTAACAGCGAAGACAGATAGGTTTCTAGTAGGGTCAAAAGAGAGCATCATGACGCCCCAAAGGGGTCTGGGCGTGATCCGGGGAGATGTTGGGGACTTTTTTTCGGCCAACAGTTACACACTTCGTGGTCTTCGAGGTCCCAGAACTCCATTCCACCCCTGGAGGCCGAAGTTGGGATTTTTTCTTTGCGGCGGGCGACCAGCGAGAACGGCAAAGGGCGGGCCGCCGAGGGAAGGACACCAGGGCACCACAGATAAAGGCGCGCGCCCTTACTGGGCGCGTTGACTGTACCCCCCCCTGGGGGAGCCCACCGTATCGACGATCTCTCTCGGGAGTGTTGTCGAACCCGAGGGGTCCCCCAAGGGGTGCGAGGACCGCGGCACTCGTGAGCATCGACGCGGTCTCTGACACCGCCCGGGTCGTTCAATCTTGAGCGGGCGCGGCTTTCCAACCGCGGCGGTCGTTCGAGATCGGCCGACTCCAGGCCGCCTGCGGTGTTCCACCTTGACCGCCCGCGCTGGGGTTGTCGCCGTGCCGTCACGACACGAGCCTACCGCACCCGCCAGAGGGCAACCAATAGGTCTCCCAGAGAGTCGCCCCGAAGAGGCCGATCCTCATTTCCGCTGGCATGGCCTTGGCCCCACGGGCGGACTTCCCCCCCCCCCCCCCCTGGGTGGACATATATGATGTTCCCATGGGGTCTCGTGGGTCTATCCCCACCAGGGCTGGGGAATTGGGCTTGTGGGGCTGAGGTGCTATGGTCCCATGGGGATTTTGGGATCGGCCAGACGGTGCTGAACTTGTGAGCAGTTCTGTTCCAAAGAAGGTGACATCCGGCTCTGATCTTCTCTGCGTCACCACGCCAAGGAGCGACAACGCCTGCTGCCACTGACCGGCCTTCTCGCATGCGCTGATCCCAGCACTGAAGCAGACGGTGCCTGGATCGATCTTCGCTACCAACAACTCGCTGAGCAACGACATTGCCAATTGCCATCGCCCACCGCTATCGCACGCTTGGATTGCAGCGCTGTAGCTGTAGTGGTGTAGTCCTAGATTAGCTCGCGTGCTCTCTGTCAGCAAGAGCAGCGCTTGCTGCCAAGCACCTCCCTTTTCGCACGCGCTGATCCCAGCGGCGTAGCTGACTTCGTCTGGACTCAAACGCGCCTCTCGCAGCTGGTTGAATAACGACAACGCCTGTTGCCATTTCTTCGCTTTCTCGCACGCGCTGATCGCGGCATTGAAGCAGATCGCGTCCAAATCTACGATAGCCTGCACCATCTCGCCAAGAAGCGAGAGCGCCTGCTGCCACGCCTTGCCTTTTTCACACGCGCTGATCCCAGCGCTGTAAGCGATCACGTTTGGCTTCAATCTGACCTCCTTCATCTCGCGCAACAGCGATAGCGCCTGCTGCCATTGCCGGCCCTTCTCGCACGCGCTGATCGCAGCAGAGTAGCTTACAGGTGCAGCCGGATAGGGAACCGCCTCTGCGAGCAGGGTTGTGGGGACACCTTAGCTTAGGTCGGGCATGTCCCCCTGCATGCGGATTTTTGACGAGAAACCAAAAATACTCAAAACATGTGTATTCAAGACTAAGCACAAATATTCGTCTGGACAATTCTTGATTATTTTTGGTTGACGACGTATTATTGGCTCTTGTGGCCATTACTACTATGAGTAGTTTTGGACTCTTGAATATTCCCCCTGTGGAGGGAAACGCACGACTGAAACCTTGGCCGAGAGGCCGAGGGCACCTGTAGCCAGGATCCACAGCATGGAGCCCACTGGAGCAAGAGAGGGAGCAGGAATCGCATGGAGAGGACGGACTGATATGCGTTGGCCGTCCTCCTCCGCATCCCTCCCCCTCCTCTCTTCCTCCTCCTCTCTTCCTCCTCCTCCTCCTCCTCCGCCTGCTCTTCTTCTTCTGATTATTCTTCTTCCTCCTCCCCCTCCCCCTCCTCCTCACCATCCTCCTCCTCCTCCTCCTCCTGCTCCTGCTCCTGCTCCTGCTCCTCCTCTCTCCTCCTCCTCCTCCTCGCCCTCCTCACTCCCTCTCCCTCCTCCCTCCTCCTCCTCCTCCTCCCTCCTCCCTCCTCCTCCTCCTCCTTCCCTCCCTCCTCCTCCTCCTCCTCCTCCTCCTCCTCCTCCTCCTCCTCCCCTCCCCCTCCCCCTCCTCCCTCCTCCCTCCTCCCTCCTCCCTCCTCCTTCCTCCTCCTCCTCCTCCTCCCCTCCTCCTCCTCCTGATCCTCGTCCTCCGCTCTTCCTCCTCCCGCCTCCTCCTCCTCCTCCTCCTCCTCCCTCCCCCCTCCCCCCTCCTCCTCCTCCTCCTCCTCCTCCCCCTGCGTGCCGCAATTGCCATGAGCTCACTGAGGGCAAACACGTTTGCCTTCAGAGGGGAGGGGGAGGAGCAGAACAACACCCAAATGCACCAGCGATGCTGCAGTACGCCCTCCCGTCCCAGGTCCCCTCCGTAGAAGACCCTTCAAGACTTGTTTCCTGCCAGCGCTCGGGCGTCTATTCCCCGTGCATGTCTCGACTTCGTGCGTATGTTTGTTGCTCGGTGATCCATGATGCTCCTCGATGGTCCTCGCCGATGACACGTGCACACGCCCGAGCGATGTCTGTTTTTTTTTTTTCCACCCGGAGAAACGCCCCACTGGAAAGGCCAGCACTCTGCGGGCCCGCCGTTCGGGAGAGAGCCCCGCCTCTGCCCTTCATCCTCTGGCGCGTGACCAGGACTGCGAACGCGCATGTTACCAGCCTGGAACAGATCCCTATCCCTGTGCTGGGCACCTCCTCATCACGATGCCAATCTTAGGGATTCCCTTATTTTTTGAGGGCGAATCCCTAAGATTGTCATCGCGTTTTGGCGTGCCTAGGGATAGGGAAACTTGGGGATAGGGATACGTTCGAGGCTGGTAAGCGTGGCCAGACATCGTACATCGAGGGAAGTGGGAAAGGGCGGACCCTCCCAGCAAGCTCGGACGCCCCCCCCCCGGCCTGCCGAGCAGTTGCTTCGCGGGCCCTCCCCGAAGAAGACGCCGACAAACTTCTCGGAAGGCGCGAGGGCCCCCTTCCCTGCCTGCCGAGAAGTTGTTTCGAAGGCCCTCCCCGGAGACGCCGACAACTCCTCGGAAGGCGCGAGGGCTTCGGAGACGCCCCGCCGCCTTCTGAGAAGGCCCTTTTCCTGCTCAGTTCTCCCTTTCGCTCGCAGCCGAGTGCGCAGCGGTGTCGCCGTTTCGGGAAATGGCCGCCCCACCCATTCACACTCGTGGCCACGAGCATCGAGGGAATCTCAAGCGATAGCCCAATGTTGAAAAGGAGCCGCCCTGATTCTGTGCAGCTGCTACATACATTTACTCCTTCTTTTGTGTATTACTAGCTCTCACGATATATCATAATGTTATTTTGAATGTACGGCCGTCCTAAACAAACACCAAGACTTGAAAAAGGGCCGCACTCTATCCGTGTACTCGTTGCAAGGGTTTCAGACGAACGTGCGCGGCGAGACCTCCATTTTGAACACCACATGTGCTCACACATAAGAGCTGTTGCACACTTTCAAGACGAATACGTGCGGCGGTAATGCGAGGACGCCATTTTGAACAAGTTGCCTCGCCATCCGTGTAGCTGTTGCGAATTTCGAGATTCAGGATCACACGTCGGTAGAAAATTCAGGCGAAAAGCGCTGCCCGCCTCACCGACACGCCTGGGAGTGCGATAGGCAGGAGTTGTCTACAAGGGACAAAGATGCAGGAGGTGGACAGCAACAAAGAAGGAAGACAGGCGGCAAATTCAAACACGGGAAAGCGGAGCCGCGCACCGTCTCTGTAAGCCTAGGGGGGCCCGAACCTGTGGGGCGCGGCACGATGCCCCCCCCACCTGCCCCTGCAGCGCCATGCACGTCTCAACGCGCGAAAGACAAGTGCACCTCCTGGCGCCCCCCCCCGCTTTGGGCAAGAATCACTGCGGGGGCAATGCGTTGTCATTGCGCCGGACTTGCAGACGTGCTGCAGCGGATTTCTGCGTGGATTTTTGCCCGAAGCGGCGCGTGAAAAACGAAGTGAATTTCGCGCGGGTTTTAATTCAGTCTTCATTTCTGGTACCAAGAAATCGCACGAAATTCACCTCGAAATCTGGAACGAAATTCTCCAGGACACTCCGGGCCCATCCTGTCGTTTTCCCAACGAAATCCGCTCTGCGATGTTGGCGCGATGAGAAATGGGCGGAGGGAAGGTGCCATTTTCGGAACCTGAAGGCCCTCTGGGCCCCTTCCTGAACATCGTTAATCCGGTCCCTATCCCCAACGGCGTGGCCTGGGCCCTACTGGCCGATTTACCCCCCTAGATGGGGATATAGGCAGTTCCTTTCGGGTTTCGAGGGGTGTATCCCCAATTGGGGGGATAATTTGGTTGGGGTCTCGAAGGGGACGAGGATGGGGATGGGGGTCGGTCAACCGATACTGACTTCCAGGGGCCCTCAGGGGCTGCTCTTCGGCAGCCCGCGCGACCTCCCCCTGCTGCTGTGAAGCGGGCGTGGAGATCGGTATCGAACTGGTCGAACTGGGTCGGGCCTGTCCCTCTACAGGAGAAATATTCAGAGCTAGTCGAAGAATAGTCTGGGGACAGTTTTGTTCACCCTTATTGACTATTCTCAGCGTGGGGGCCAGGCGTCCCGGTAAACCAAGGTGCTTTTCCGCCCGGACACGATATCACGATATCACGATATCACGATATCGGGGGATATCGTGTCAGGGGACACGATATCACGACATCACGATATCACGATATCGGGGGATATCTTGTCAGGGAACACGATATCACGATATCACGATATCACGAAATCGGGGGATATCGTGTCAGGGGGGGTCGGGAGAACACGATATCACAAGATCACGATATCACGATGACGGGGGATATCGTGTCAGGGAATACGATATCACGATATCACGATATCGGGAGATATCGTGTCAGGGGACACGATATCACGATATCTCGATATCGGGGGGGGGGGATCGGGGCGGGGCTCCATGCACGGCGCCTCGCCCCCCCCATCCCTCGCCCGGCCTCGCTGGGACGCCCGCAAGGCCTCCACGATGTGTAGAATCATATGATTCCAATGAAAGTGCTCGCTCCCACCTCGACGCCGCAGGCGAATTTTACACATGGGCTTTGTATACCTTGTTTTTTCACACACGAAACCCTCCCCTCAAAAACACCGGGGACATCACATGCCTGGTGTTTTTGAGGTTCGTGTCGTTTGCTGCCTCGCCTTCGTTTCGTATTCGTTTCGCTTGTTTTCTCGCCGTCGTGTCGCTTGTTTTCTCGCCTTCGTTTCGCTTTCGTTTCGCTTGTTTTCTCGCCTTCGTTTCGCTTGTGTTCTCGCCTTTGTTTCGCTTTCGTTCCGCTTGTTTTTTCGCATTCCTTTCGCTTGTTTTCTCGCCTTCGTTTCGCTTGTGTTCTCGCCTTCGTGCCGCTTGTTTTTTCGCATTCGCTTCGCTTGTTTTCTCGCCTTTGTTTTCATGTGTTCTCGCCTTCGTGCCGCTTGTTTTCTCGCCTTCGTGCCGCTTGTTTTTTCGCGTTCGTTTCGCTTGTGCTTCTCGCCTTCGTGCCGCTTGTTTTCTCGCCTTCGTGCCGCTTGTTTTTTCGCGTTCGTTTCGCTTGTGTTTCTCGCCTTCGTTTCGCCTTCCTTCGTTTTGCTTGGGCTTCGTTTCGCCTTCCTCCAGATTGCTGCCTTAGTTGTATCAGTGTTCTTTCAGAGTTCATTCAGAGTTTGATGCCAGAGTTTGAGATGTATCAGTGTTTTGCGTCAGAGCTTTTTTTCAGAGTTTCAGCTGAGTTTTTTGTTTCAGATATCGGGTCCCCATCTTGTTTGTGTGGCGTCGTGTTCTCCTGAGCCCTTCCCTCTTCCTTGCTTCCCTTTCGCTTGTGCTACCGCGGATCCTACAGTACGGGAGGGGCAGGACGAGGAGGAGGACGACGAGAACGAGGACGAGAACGAGGACGAGGACGACGGAGAGGAGGCCCCTGCCAAACATGGCCCACGTCGGGGCTCGGCGGATTGCTGCGGGGTCCTCGACGGCTTCGTCAAGGACCGGATTCGTTAAGGACCGGGGGGCTCTGGGCAAGGGGGCGGGGCGAAGGCAAGGAGCAACAGGAGGAGGAGGAGGAGGCAGAGGAGCAGCAGGAGCCAGCAGGAGCCAGCGGAGAGGAGCAGCAGGAGCAGCAGAAACAGGCGTAACTCTACCCATTTATTTTCCGAGCTTGTTGACGAGCAATGCAAATACCGAGCCGACTATACATGTACAATGTGATATTAGACCACACCCACCACTCTGCCTGGGACAAGGACAGGAGGCCAGTTTGGGAGGACATACAATCGTACATACGTCCATGTGGTTCGGTTACATACGAATGGTTACGAGCATTTCAAGTGAATGCATGTGCATCCGTGTTT